AGAAGTGTACCAAGTTTTTTGTGCGCTGGTAGACAGGATAGTCCGCCTGGCTCTCTGAGTGCTTCCCAGTCCCCCGCCCGCACTGCCCTCAGGAGCTCTCTGCGCCATTCCTCTCTCTCCGCTTCGTTTTCCACATTTTCTTCCAAAGTTCTCTGGCATCTCTTCCGGGGCCCCCTTCCATCGCCTGTCTGCGAAAGCTTTTGACTGCTTTGCTTTCTTTGTGTGCTTTGCTGTTGCGTCTTGGCTGAATGATCTCCGCCGCCATTTGCTTGATGCTCTGGAAGGGGTCATCCGCTTTGCTGCCGGATTCGTTGGGCGCCTGTGTCATCTTCCGGGGGTCTCTCAGCTGCCTCGGTCCATGAACTGATAAACTGACGCCTAGCCTGCGTTTGCGGCTGTGTTTCCATGTCGCTCTTCCAAACCCGGAATGCTATGACACCATCATGGTCGCTGCTGACTACGTGTCTCAGTGGCCACACTCCCCCTCCGCCGGCCGTGGGATCGCTCCGATGAAGATATAATCCAATCTTCTCGGGCTGGCGCTGGGTTTGTAGGGGTGGTAGGACGGTATGTTGACCTGTTGTGGGGGGGCTTCCATTCCATCCCTTGTTCCACCATCCACTGCAGCAGCACAGCCCCGTGAGTCTGTGCTCTTCCTTTCTTCTCACAAAGATCTCACTGAAGTCCCCCAGAACCACAAGCCTTGCCTCTCTCAAAGCATACATTGACGTCCATTCCTCCACTTCTGCTCCTGTTTTGTTGAGCGTGAAGCACGCGGGCAGGTGCATCTTGATGTATCCTACATCTCCGCTTGCAGTAGGTACCGTGACTGCCATTGCATTGTTGGCCACCTGCCTGCGCTTGATAATGCCTAGTTGCCTAATTTGCTTCTGACTGCAATTGCTCTGCCTCTCCATTCCCCTGACTTCTTTGCGATCGTCGGCTGTCCCTGCCTTCAAGTACTCTGAGTGAACTTCCTGAAAAGCCACCAAATGTACCTGGTGAAGGGGTCGGGTAGGGTAGCTACGATCTCCGGCAATCTCTCTGCTTTCACGCCTCCAGCTTCCATGTCACGCAAGCAGTCTTCCTCTGTCCTGGCGCGCTGGCCCGCAACGTCTCTCTCCTCTCCACCTTGGCATTCATTGCTCCGATTTTCCTGCGCGTGCTTCTCGATATCGTACCCCTGCCTTCCTCGGCGAGGCCTTCCTTCGGCATCGGTCATGCTAGTGGTGGGCCCGTCGACGGGCCTGCGCCGTTCCCCGTTTATTTGCCCGGCTCTGCGGTCTGTCTGCCGTCAGGCCCGGACCGCCAACGATCGCCAACGCCTTGGGCGCTGTGGAATCTCCAAAGCAACTTGCTGAGGCTGTACATTTGTGCGGTCACACTGTCCTCGAGTCGGGGTTCAGCTTGGCTTCTGCCGTGGTCCTCAAGTGGCATCGTTACCAGGTTGGCCTTTAGCGACCGAGCCGAGCTCCGACACGGTGCTGGTTTCGGTGTTGGCTCCCCCCGTTCCCAGCGGCGTCAGCACAACGAATCGGACGGGGTCTCCTTCCCCCGCTAGCATCCATGCTCGTCAGTCATTCTCCTCCTCTCCCTCCGGTCAGTTGATGGCCTCTACCAACTGGCGCCAGCTGTCCGCGAAGATTTGGGTGGTTTCCCTGGTGTGTTGGCACACCGCCTCCGCATCAATCCATCCGTAGTCGGCCACCAGGACTTCTTCAGTCGAGGGTTGACCACCGCTTCCCGCCACTTTCTTCCCATTCAGGTTGATGGCCCCGTTCTTATAGTCAGCTTTGAGTGTTCCCAGATCAAGCTGGCATCCCTGCTTCTCCGCGCGTTTGAGAAGGCAGCGTTTGGACTTCGCCGTCATTCTCGCACGCCTGCGCGTCTCCGGCGGTTCTGAAAGTGCCAGCCAAATGACGAGATCCTTTCCATATGTGTCTCTGTCCCCGGATTTGGTCTGGCAATTTCTCGTGGCCTCTACAGAATCGCCCTGATATGACTATGGGCCCCCGGTCTCCATGTTCTCCGCTCTGCCCCGCCGGGCGCCAAGCCGAGGACTCTGGCCTTTCCGTGCTCTCAAGCTGTTCAAGCCGCCGTACTATGTCAGAAACTTCTTGTGTTTGCTGCTGTTGGTTCGCTGCCTGAGTCTCAACCTTGCTCTCAAGGGTGTCGAGCTGCTTCCCCACGTCACGCCGCCTTTGGTCTAGCATCGAGATCAGCTCTACCGCCTTGCCAATTTTTTCTGTTGATGGAGACCTCTTGCGGCAATTCCAGCATTCCTCCCGTGAGCCGCGCCGTTGTCTTGGTGCGGTCCTGAAAACTGATCCCCACCGGCTGGGATTCCCTTGCACCCTCAGTCTCTTGGTAGGTGACGGTTGGTTCACATCCACGCCCTCGGCACGTTCTTGAGGTCAGGAGGGGCTGAATGCAAGGGCGCCGGGGGCACTGGCTATTTCTGGCGCTGTCTAGACTCGACCAGTCACAATTCACTACCGACCCTGGGCTCACGGCTCACCAGCCGGGCAAAAGCCTCCGCGCCCAAGCCCCCCCCAACCAAGGGACGCTCACCCGTCACAAAAAGCAGAGATGCCCTCTGCCTCGGACGGGCCGCACTGGTGCCACCGGCCACAAGGAGCACAGCAGAGGCAGGGGACTTGAGCCAAAACGGCTTCTAGCTTCTTCTTCTTACACCTCCCTCTCTGTCTCTTGCTGTTTGTGTTTCTTTCTTGTTTTCTTTCCTTCTTTGTATGATTCTTTCCGTCCCTCGTTCTTGCTTTCTTGGCTTCTTTTGTGTCTTTTCCCTGCTCCACACCAACTCTCCCCTCCTTCCTTCATGGCCTTCATCAGCGGAAAAAAGGCTACTCGCACCAGGCAAAAAAAGAGCACCCCCACAAAAAAAATATATATGTTTCCTGATTGTCAACGCATGAAGGATCATGAAGCACCTGACCTTATTTCAGCTGCGCAGCGCAACAAAGACGGGCGGAGCATTGACAACAAACAGGACCGCCAGAGATTCGGGATAGTAGCCTCAAGCCATCTAGACAAGCTGCTCTCTTGGATTTGGCTGTCGTGCTGCCTACTTCGGGTCGTGCTGAGGCCCAAAAATGAGGGCATGCCCTGGGCAGGTTTAGCCACATTTACTTTGTGGGCAGAAACTTAAAAGCTGTACAATGATGCCAACTGGCACTAGAAGTAGGAATTAGAAGAATGGTACCTACAATGTGGAAGGGGTCCGTGTTCTACTCAACTTGCCAGTGCTATCGATTACAGCATAACTCTACCCAGTTCAGGGACGTCCAGAGTGGAAGCAATCAACCTGAGCACCACGATCTTCAGGAAGGCCTATAAATGATCCACAAAGATATGCACATGCGTCTGCAAATGTGAAGCTGCAGCAGATCTTCAGAAAATGGTGTCAACGCCAACATATAAGATACATTAAGATACCAAATACGCTGACCCCAAGCTATACTGGTGGAATTGCAGAGTTTCAGTCCTCCATGTTTGGCAGAGTGCCACACCACCTGCCTCCAAAAAGACCTGAAATATTTAGTTTTCGAGCCCATTGAGCTCAAAGGTCCAGTGTCTGGCTGTTGGACTGGAACACCTGTCTGCCCAGGGATTTGGTTCTTTCGGCATGGTGGATGGCATGCAGTTTGCCTTTGCTGGCCTTCTCTTCATCTTGCATGAGGGAAATTATGCACTAGCGGTTAATAACGGACGTTGTTGGTGTGTAAAGGAGGGACATGTGCTCGCTGCAGTAAGTGCCCCGCCTCAGCGTAGTCGTTACGCCCGTGTGGTTTCATCCGTCGTTTGAGCATGGCGACACTAAGTCACTATATAGCTGCAGATCGATGCACTTTGCATCATCTTGCTGCAGGCCAAGTTTGGAATCTTCAGGCCTTGTGCCTGCAGCAAGCGTGAAGGGCCAGGGCCTAAATTGCATACAGAGCTGTTTTGTGCGCAATGGCTGCTTCCAAGACAGTCGAGTTCAGCACTGAGACGCCATTCTCCGTGCCGAGAAAGGTTGACGGGATGCAGGCCAGCACTCTGCAAAAGCACGTGCGCGCCTACACCGAAGGTCGGTATAGGCTTGAGGAATTCAAGTTGATGCGCGCGCATTGCGTGCTGTGCCTGCAGTTTGGGGCAATGCTCTCATGGGTAACCCCGCCCAGCCTAGCCTCACCAGCATCAGCACCAGCAGCACCACCCCCCACCAAGACCAAGAAGAACAACAGCAGTGGCAACTTAAGAGCAACAACCACAACGGCGACGACGCCAAGAGCAACAAGAACAAGAACAACAGCAAGAACATGAACAAGGGTGACACCGATGATGATGATGATGATGATGATGAGGAGGAGGAGGCGGTAAGCAAGACAGCCATCAGCATGTCCAAAAAAAAATGAAAGTACATCGGCTTCAACACGCAAAAGCAAGTGTACCGTATTAGAGCAGCGGCCAAGCCACGGGAGCTGACAACAAGGAAGTCTTTGAAGGCGGCCACAGCCAGCGGGTGCGGGCGAAGCGGCATACCATCAGCATTCGTTATGACGACCTCGTCTCGTGGACTCTAGCAGTGTAACACTGCTGGCATCACTAGCATGGCTGCATGTCAGCCTTAGGCGTCCGCCTGTTTGGTAATGGGTCGCCCATGCCTCCTGGATGCCTCCTCCATGCGAGCCGCCTTTGCAAGCACTCCATGACTTGATGTGCACTTGACGTAGATTGACAATGATACCAAGAAGTGGCCTGCAGCTCATGCATGCGCACCAAGCTGGCCAACATTTGCTCGCTTCCGCCAATCTCAGCAAAAGAACAAGAGAACTCCAGGGTTGCCACCCTCACTATCTAGCACCCAACCACGCATGCAGCTGTGCCACAACACCCAACATGTCTTTGAAGCGCCATCCTGCAAGTCCTCCATTCTGGATCTGGACTGGCTGCCCCTTCTTGTCAAACCCAAAAGCCAAGGTCTGGCCGTAATAGAGGAGAGCGCTTTCATTCGCAAGCGGCTCCACCAGCCTGTCTGCACAAATGTGCACACACGCACACACCCCGGGGACGGGCATGAGCTCCTGAGTTGTGGAAACATCTCCACACCCTGTCTGCTGAGCCGAGAGTCCTGAACATCAAAGGGTGGGAGCTGCAAGTGCCAACAACCCAGAACTCTTGTCCACTGAGGGTGGGTATGCACTGTGGTTTCTGATCCTGTGCAGCTTGCAATGCCGCTTCCGGCCCAAACGGTCCCAAAGCCTTCCGGCGAACGCGATCCACATCGTGCTCATTCCGCCACCGAATCATGGCCTTACATATGCTTTTTCGTGACAATGCCTGTTGCGAACAGAGCGCAATAATTCAAATGGAGATAGCAAAGCGATTATTTGGCCTGAAACTGCTCCGCTGCCGCATCCACCTGCCATTTCCGCGCGACCAGGAACCGCAGGAGCTCTTTTTCTTCAGCGAAAGGTGAAGAACTCCTGAAGCGGTCATGTGGCTTACAAATCAACTGAGGAATCCAACTGTTTGTGGTTTATCTAATGCGAAAAAGGATCTGAACTTTGCGTCTCATTTCTGAAAGAGCACCTTTTTGAAGCTCACTGAGCTCCAATGGATCCTGCTCTGAGGCGGCGACGGCCTGGAATCAAGCTGAAACAAGTCACGGCATTCCGCTGCACTCCGACAGATCCCACGGCAAGCAAATCAGCTTTGAATGGATATGTGTCCTCAAGCTTTGATGGCTCCCTGCATCTGGCCTGCAGGCAGGCAAAAACTGCACTCATCATCACGGCAGGGTCGCTACAGCTGAAGCTCAGGGCCAAACGTGCCGTGAGGTGCACCAGCCAAGCATTCCATTGCTCACGCAACAGTCCATGCTGAACTAAAATGCTTTTTGGTGCAGCTGCAATACTGCTAATAATGTTGCGGTCCTTCTTAACTAACATGAATGAGGGGGGGCGTCAAGGGGCTTCACGGCTAATAAGCATCATCGGACAAATGCTTCATGGGATTACAAAGCAGAATTGGAGTCTTGGAGCCAACTTCGGCACGGCCTGAAGGTAATGCGGTGTACTCTGGGGTCCCCGGGCAGCCAGCTGCGCACGAATTTTGCCCACATCAAGTCAACTACATGTACTGATGCCACAATCTTTGGTGACACTCAGACCTTACCTGGCAACCAGGAGGGTAGAGGAGGGTCTCCTCAGGCCCTCTGAGCGAAGTGCAACACTAGCAAGATGCCAAGCTTCTACACAGTAACGAGGGTCTGGCAAGCCTTGAACCCCATACAATATAACAACATCAGAGATTTATCACGAGCCGCATGGATTACTCAGCTTGTCTATTCAACATGTTCAGCATGTCCATGCCCCAGCTTAAAGAAACAAGCTTGCTAAAGGCAATCAGCTCACGACGGCCTATTGCATATGGTACATGTCAAGGGGAGCAGGAGTGCTGCGTGTGCTGCAGCTTGTTACCTTAGTTTGTGTTCTAGCAGAAAATGACAATCTAAGATGGTTGCATGGCTGAGGCGGAATCTGTGGCAGAGCCGCTCCTCCTCGTTCTTGATCCACTCTGTAATTTGCCTGCGTTCATGCCGTCGGCGAGGTCAGCTCTTTTGCCATGGAAGACATGAATCCTTAAGAGCTAGGTTAAAACAAGGATCATGAAGAAAGAGAAACAGAATCAGGCAGCGCTTGTGACTCTGAACAGATGTACAATTTTGCCCGCTGCCGCTGCCGTCTTGGTCTCTTGCCGCGGATGGTAGACATGCTCCTTTCTGGGCTCAATCTTTGACATCGTGATTCGTAACAGCTCTGACCATCCAACATCTGGTGAAGCTCAATGCCATCAGCATCATCATAGTAGTTTGCATGAAAATCAGCTCGACGGAAGCCAACCTGCAGATATAGCTGATGCGCTGCTGCATTATCAGCTCTGACAATCAACCTGACACAAACGGCTTGCGGAAATTTCTCGCGGCTGAGGGAATGAACATGGCGAAGTAGCTGGGTTGCGATGCCAAATCTGCGGAATTCTACTGAAACAGCAAGGTTCATGACATGAATGCACTTTTCACATGCCCCGAAGGGCTCGTAACTCCATGCAACATATCCGGCCACCACATCGCCAGAGCATGCCTTCACCACTGCAACATCCACGTAAGTTGGCACGAATAGCGGGCCATGATGCTTGCGTCGGGAGTCCGCAATTCTTTCCGCAAGCACACGCTCTGGCTTGAAGAAGGCCTCTGACTCAATCCTTTGCATGCAGGGCCAATCCGACTCAAGGGCAGATCGAATGCTTATCATCAGCTCAGCATCACCAACCATCATCGACCAACTCTACAGGTGGCTGGAATTACTACCTGTGGCAGAAATGTTGTGTTGTCAAGCTACGACACATTTCCGTACTTGGAGTAGGCCCCCAGGTTATAGAATCATATAGAATCACCTTGAGCCATTGTTGGCCCAGCGGTTGCCAAGGCCCAATGAGCCCGATGCACAAGGCCAATGCATGTCATCGCTTGGGAACTGTGAGCCCCCATCCCGTGCGCACAAAGCAACAAGCATGCCAACTGACTGAGCCAATCCAAGCACGCTAATGGAGAGGCGCACTGCAACTTCGATACGTCAGGCGTCAGGCCGAGCGGGCTGCCTGGCAGAGGTGAGCAGCATTTTGTGCTTGTTGAACCCGGTGAAAACATGTAAAAACAATTATCCTGTTTTTGTCCTGCTTATCGGCCGAGGAGGGATGGGGCGGTGAGGAGGGAGGTGAGGTGAGGGTTGGTTTTTATTCTATCTAAATTCTTATGACGCAAAGAAACTTTCCTTCTCCGGCCCAAAGCATCCTCATTTTTCCGCATCTTGCAAATTGTTGCTTCCACGAAACTTTTCGCTTCCGCGAACTATCTTTTCCTCATAGGAGACTTTGGGATGAGGATGTCAAAACTTCCGTCGTCCTCTTGAGGCATCAAGATGCATCGAGGCAACGAGCTACTGGCATTTTCTGCTGGTGTCTTTTGCAGTTGCAACGCTTCACATGGCCCATGGGCTTGAAAATTGCACTCCCCCTTCCGCTGTGAAATTTCTGTCCCGAGTCTCCAAAACCGACCTGCATCATGTGTCTTGCTGATAACGGTACAGAAATACTCATGCTTCCATCCCACGATTGCGCCCCTGACGTGCTTCTGTCACAACAGAATCGTGAAGTGGAGAATCTCTCAACCCTACAACCACCATCTTCGCAGTCTCATGTTCCATCTGATGTTATGGATTGATTGGTATTCATTTTTCGCGTGAACCCTCCGCAATCCTTCCACGAACCTGCGGCGTCCTTCGGAGGCCACGGTCGGGCGCACATTTTTGGGATTGATCCCAAGTCTCGGTATTGTGTCGTCAACACAGGAACAGAAGACTAGCGGACAAAAAAACACAGCTCGGGTGGGCAGCGACCAAATTTTCTTCGAGAATCATGATGCGTGGCTCTGCAGACGGACGATGTCCGCAGCTGCCGGCAGCCAACAGCACTCCTGCATACTCCTGCTTCACGGCCAGCGCCTTTTGTTAGGGATTTAGGCCCGGGTTGGTGTTGCAACTTTTAAGGTTCTCCTTTTCTGTCCCTTTTGTTTTTTCATGGTTTTTCAGTGGAGGTGGTCTTCGAATTGATTGGCGTGATGGTTTTGTTGTAATGGGGTGTGTGATTGATGGATCTGATGGAAGGTCGTCGCGAGGTATCTGATGATAGGACGGCGTGATGATGGTCTGATGTCGTGAATAGGGTGGCGTAATGGTAGGATGGAAGAGGTCTCGGATTAAGGGATGGTTCGATGGTCTCCTGGACGGTTGTTGTGAGGTAATTATCGGGTTCCCATAATCTATCTCTTACCAATGCCAAATTTGATGATATTTGATATGTAAAGATCTTTAAAGCACGGGGTAGGGCTGGCATCGGCCGGCGAGTGCCGCCGCACCTCGCCAAAATCGCGCTGGCGCATGGAGCGATCTCGGAAGTCTGCGCACGAGTGCGGAACTGTCGTTGTGCTCGACGTCTCGTGTCAATGGCGCGTAGAGCGTCCTCGGAATTTTGCGCGTCTGCGCGTCGTGTCGCTGGCGCGTGGAGCGTCGCCCTCGGAATGTTGCGCCCAAGTGACCAACGTTTCAGGCGCGGCGTGTCGTGTCGCTGGCGCATGGCAATGGGTCCTCAAAATTCTGCTTGGAGTCGACGACCTTCTCGGTGATTTGGGCCTGTCGGAGCGCTGCGCGCGAATCGACGACCCTCTCAGTGGCTGAAGCTGTCCAAGCGTTAACTCGGCCACCTTGCAGTACAATTGGAGTATACTGGAAACGCCTCTTCCGAAGCCTCCAGAAACCTTCAGAAGCTGTCCGAGCCCGAACTCGACCGCTTTGTACTACGGCTTGAGCTCTGCAATCGCTTCTTCCGGAGCCTCCCGAAAGCGTTTCGATGGTCTCTTTGACGGTCGTCGTGACATGGTCCATCTCTTACTGAATTCAACACCCTAGTCCAAGACTCTCGGGTTACGGTCGTCGTGTACTATCGGATGGATGGATGGATTCGATGGATAGATGGAGGGATGGATTCGACGGATGGATGGCTGGTGGCTGGCTGGATATTTCAATGGTCCCTGGACGGTTGTCATGAGATATGGGTCTGCGCGGTTTTTAGATCTCGTACTAATGCCGTCATGGTCCAGTGCGGGTGCACGTCTAGCTAAGCCATGCTTATACAGGTGACGCCCCTGCCACCGACCCCGCCCCATTGAAAGCCCTGGCTGGAGCAATTTTATCGGGCCAGCATCATCAGCAAAAATTGGGCCTCCGTTTCTCACTTTTGAAGACCTCAACATACTTAAAGTTTTGGAGGGGTGCTGGAACCTGGCATGTGTCGTGCCAAATTGGGGGCCCAAACGGGCCTGGATGCTCATGATGCTGGCTCGTGAGGGGCCGCTGGGACCTTAAGATGCGCTATAAACCTCACCAAGACCCTCGAAGTGCCGTGCTATGGCCAGTGTCTGCGGCTGTAAGTACCAGCGTTTGCTCTGCGTGCATTACCCGGGCCAAGCTCTCCAAACCGTGCAATTTGCATGGTTATGCATGGTTCTTCCGGATATTTCCAGCACAATCTTTGTAAGTATATGCTTTTGTGATATCTTGTGACAAGCCTTTGCCCTGGCTTACTGCCTGCATGAACTCTGAATACAACACCCTGGACTACTGCCGAGCGCTCTGGGAAAGGCAAGGCTTCGCTTCAAACAAATGTGCGCCCTTTACGCAAGTGGAGAAAGCCTGCAATACAGACCTTCAAGGCATCCCCATCCAACTGCATTCCTTACTTAGTCCTTACTTAGCAGATTCTTGAAGTAGGCCCCAGGTTGGCAAGCCACACCGATTTGCTGGTCCACTCCTTCTGCCCACGCAGCAGGCTTCAGGGGGAATACGCAAAGCTAGATTCTAGATCCTACCGACAAGACTCTCAGCAACATGCCCTAACTGACCCTCGCTGGTGACATGGGCTTCGCTAGGTCGGCGCCGCCCATCACCACCTGTCAAGATT